CTGAGGGGCCGTGCGGGGCTCTGAGGGGCCGTGCGGGGCTCTGAGGGACCATGAGGGTCTCTGAGGGGCCGCTCGTGCTCTGCGGATCCACGCAGGGGGTGTGGGCTGTGACGCTGCCCCCGTTGCCGTGGCGACGCCCCGCGCGTGCGCGCAGCGCCACCGCCCCCTCCGGCCTGTGAGGCGGCGCCGCGGCAGCGACAGCGCGGCAGTGACAGCGCAGCCGTCCCGGCCCCGCGGCCGAGCGGGGGGTCCCCCGCGGCGATGGCGGCGCGGCCTGGTCCGTCCCCCCGCACCCCACCTCCCTCCCCTCCACCCCCGCTCACCCAGCGCCGGCGGGACGGGAGCGGCGCAGCGATGATTCGGCGATCCCCGCGGGAACCAGGCGGGCGCCGGGCCCCGCGCGTGACGTCACGGGGCCGGCGGGAGGCGCGCACGCGCAGTGTGGGCCCGGCCGGACCGGGGCCGGTGTGGGGAGCCCGGCAAGGGGATCCCGGCCAGGGGGTCCCGGGGCCGCTCAGGGGATCCCGGCCAGGGGGTCCCGGGGCCGGTGTGGGGATCTCGGCCAGGGGTCCCGGGACCGCTCAGGGGGTCCCGGTCAGGTGCCGGCGGCGGCACGGAGAGGCAGCGCAGCCGCAGGGTCCTACGAGGGGCCTCGCTCGGTAATCGGGAGGGCCCCGCCTTCACTGAGCGCGTTCCCGCTCCGTGGGGCCGGGCACGGATCCCGGGACACGCGGAGGACAAGGTGTGAGCCGGCTGGGCCGGGCTGGGCCGGTGCCATCGAGCGGTTCGGTCCGGGTGTGACGCGGGGGACTCCCCGCAGCTGCTGGGGGTGCTTTGGGCTCTCCCCCCCTGGGCTGTGCTTGGAGCTGTGCTTGGGGCTGTGCTTGGGGCTCTCTCCCGCCCTGCACCGCATCCACTGCCAGGAGCTGTGCCGAGCGCGGGGTTACCGCGCTGCTCCATTCATTGGCCTCTGCCGCCGCCAGCCGGGGTTTATTCTGCGATAAAGACCCAAGGATTCCAGTGCCACACAGCCACACAAAGTCTTGCAGGTGGTGTCCTGCAGGAGAGCTCCTTTAGGCAAATAAAGAAGTTGCCTCCTGAAATGGTTCCCAATGGAAGTTACTGGGTAGGTGAAATAAGTGAACTAAATCAGGCAACAGTTAAATGACCCTGTACGTATTGCTGGGACAAAAATGTGGAGATGTGGGATTGGGACTGTGCCCTGCTGATGTCCCACCATCCACCCTGAGCCAGGCGATGGGAAGGCAGTGTAGGCACAGACACAACACACACTCTTCCCCCTTAAGAGGCCCCTGTTGCTCCCCAGCTACACCACGACTTGCTCAAGGAAAGCAAATAAACCATCCTTTGCTTGTGTCACCTGTCCAGGAGTTAAAAGCTCTTGTCATTTCAGTATTTTCTCAGAAGGCTGTCCTGCTACAGTCCCAGCTAGAAAGCTTGGTACCTCTGAAAAATTAATGCTTTTCAGTTTTCCTACAACTTTTGCCTATGGAGGCAAAGAGTTGTTGAAAGCTAAATTAAACCTGGAGTATCACAGGGCAGACAAAGGCACGGAGACTTTCTGTGAGGCTGGGAAGTCAGTCTGGAGCTTGATGTTCTCATATCCAACTTCCCATCAGTAGGAACACGGATTCCTAAATCCCTGCTCTGAAGGGCTTTCCATGGCATTCAGCACACTGGGGAGGTTATGCCTCTCATTATTAGGAATGTCCTAAGGACAGATAAATACCTTCAGGGTTGTCTAATGCACAAATACAGCCCCATGTCTCCCTACATGTTTTGCTGAAATGATTTGAATTAAGAGATTGAGAGCAGGAGATCATTGCTATAAATTGCTGTGCATAATGAAACCACATGTGCAGTGTGCTTCAGGTCTTTAATTTGTTAGGAGCTGGATGTTTATTAGAGTATGGTACAGTTAATATTCCCTACAGTCGTCTGGAAAATGAAATACCCCTTTCCCAACACAAAGATAATGAGTTGTGTGGCAAGATAAGGTGGTTACCAGAATTCAGGAATGACAGAATCCAATTAATTTAACATGAATTAATGCAAGATCGAATTTATTACAGTTGGATGCAATTTGTAATTGAAAGTTCCATTGCAGCACGTTTTTACATGTTATCTCCCATCAGTGGGAGATCTCAAAAGAGCAAATTCTCCATTTTGAACAGCAGCAGTGTATTTCTTACATCATAAATAACTCTTTCCTTACATGTTTGCTGTGAGGAACTTCAGGACCCAAGAGCCCAGCTGTGCCCCAGGGGCTGTGCTCTTGCTCTTTCTCACAGGGACCACAACTGAGGCTTAAACACAAACCTGGGCTTCACTTTCTTCAGCTGCTTTGCTGGGCTGCCCCTGCCTTGTCACTTCTTCCTCCCCTTTCCCATTTGCCACTCTTCTGGGGGGTCACCCCTCTTCTTTTTCTGGGTGGGAGGGGTGAAATTGGCCCTCTAGTCAAATAAACCTTTCAACCTCCTACCTTCAAAATAAACACTTTTATTGTGGACAGTCCAAGCTCCTTAGGCAAAGCTTTAGGTCTCAAATCCAAAAGATACACTGTGTCCTTTTAATAATTTCATAGTGGAAACTCTTTATTTGCCCATTCCTGTGGTGCTGGGGAGGTTTTCAATGATTCTGGTTTAGGTTTCGGGATTAGGTGAAACCAGAGTGCCTTAAACCTCTTTAGAGGCTTGGGATTAGGCCTGCATCAGGCCTAATATAGCCTTTCTGTGCAAGGCTAAATTAAATGGGAGGAATATTTGTTGTGCACTGATTCACAGGTGTTTGGCAAAATCCCAGAAAACATAAAGGAACCACTGGAAGAATCATGAAGGCAAAGCCATCGAAACATGAGTATTAGCTAAGCACTGCAGTATCACTTGCAACTGTGGGGTCTTTCAGGCTGCTCCTAAGTGATTTTAAGCATGGATATCATTTTTATGTGTCTCTCTCACATGGATGTGAGTAAATTGAAGATCTGTCGTGCAAATGGATCATGGATTTTTATTTGGGTATCACATTCTGGTAATTGCTGCCTGTTTTATAGCAAATGTATATTAAAGTTCGTCAAACAGCTGATAGCACTGAAACTCTGTTGTTTAATTGTACACATAAATTGTGTTCCTTCTCTGGAGTCTGCATTGCCCTGGCAGAATATGCTGGGTCATGAGGAGAAAAAACCAATAAATCTATGCCTACCATTAAAACCACCCTGCCTGGCCCAGGGGGCAGAGGATTGGCCTCACTGATGCCCATGGGCTAACTGGAGATCATTTCATTGTGTAGGCTGTCTACTGTGAGGCCTTTCAGCACTTTTCAGTCACTTTGGTGGTGCTGTTTCTCCTCTCTGTGCTCAGCTCCACAGTGTGTAACCCCAACAAGGCCTGACCCACTGGCTGTTCCCCCGAGGAGCTGCCTGAGCTGGGCAGATCTCAGCAGGCAGAAGGAAGAGCAGCTCAGCACTGCAGGATCTCTGCAAAGTGCAGCAGCTGCTTTGGCTGCATTTGGAGGGAAAAGCTGATGCCTGGCTCTGGGAAGCCCGAGCCTGGTATCAAACGAAGCTGGGTATGGAGTTATGGGGTGCAAAGCACAGAGCCCAGTGGGTCAGTTCCTACAGCTGTCCAACATCAGTTACTGCCTGAGCAGAACTCTGTCCTCATACCAGAGCATTCCTTTCCCTGATTTTGTACCTGTCAGGCCTCTCCAGAAAAGGGTATTTTGGAAGCATTTATCTCCCCAGATAAACAGATCTCAGTTTCAATTGTAGACTTGCCTGTATTCAGGAACTCGACTGCATGTCAGAATTTTAGGGCTTTTCTTCCACGCCAACAATCAGTTCTCTTGCAGGCAAGCTTTGCTGCATTCCTATGGCAAGTGTTCTGATCAGCAGTGCATACAGCCAGCTCCTGTCTTCTCATGTCTGCTTGCAAAAGTGAAACAGAAATAGTTAAGTTTCAAAAGAACATGTCTCCTCTAATCAGATGAGCTGTAAAAGAAAGAGGGAGGCTAACTAGAAGGATTTAATCATCTTAGAATCTGTATAAAACATTATTTATGGCTGAAGAGCTACACAAGTCTTGAGCTCTATATGTAAGTCCTTTGCCTCTTCAATGGTGCATGTAAGGAAGAACAAGAGAGAAATGTTCCAGTCAAGGACAAAATCATAAAATAATTAGCAGAAGAAGAACAAAATGAAAATATTAGGGGCCAAGGGAGGCTGAGTGGGAGTTTGTCTTCATACATGATTGATCTAAACTTGAAAAGGAAAAAAAAAGAGACTCCTCATCTTTAAACGAGATGGTTATTTGAGCATAAATAACAGTCTCATGTCAACTATGCTGCTCTTTCCAATGGAGTCTTTTCACTGCAAAACCGCAACATTCTCAGCCCTAATCTCCTCAGATAAAACAATAGGGCTGGTGGCTGTGAATCAGCACTTTGAAAGCAACCTCTGAAAACAGCAACACGTTCAGGGTGAGGAGACACTGAGGAGACAAAGAGCTGCTGTTTATAGAGCTTTGCAAAGCCAGGCCCCACCTCGCTGGCTTGGAAACTGCTGTAACACCCCAGAGTTGTTTTCCTCTCTGGGTGGGAAGTCCAGCTCAAGGGACTGGGGTTAGTTGTGTACCTGTGTGTTTAGTCCCACACCAGGCTGAGCTGTCACTGCAATCAGGGGCAGTGAAACACCAGAATCCTCCGGGATGGTTGGGCTGTGAGGTTCCCTGAGGAAGGGCACGGTGAGCTGGGCTCTCTGTGCCCAAAGGAGAGCTCCTCCTTCCCCAACCCCTCTGCAGCCCCCTGGCCATGTCCCCTCCCTTGTGCTGACCCCAGCACTCAGCTGAGGAGCGTCAGGGCTGGTGCAAGGCAAGAGCAGGGTGCCAGGACAGGAGAGGGCCAGGGAGGGAGAGCCATCCCCCTGGAAGAGACCTGCCCTGAGCAGTGGGACCGAAGGGATGGGGCCAGCCGGGACACAAAGGGTTCCATCCAGCACAGGACATCTCACCTTAGGCAGGAAGCTCATTTCCCTCCACCACCACTGAGGAAAAACAGGCTCTTAACTACATAGGAACATCCACCTTTTTTTTCTGATTCTGCTGCTTCCTAACATAACACACTTAAACCACAAGCTTTGAAATCCAGAGATGCCATCCCATGGGAAGTGAAGGAAAACTTTGGTCTCAGCGTAGACCCCAAGCTGTTCTCAGACTAGAAAGACCTTGCACTGGTGGGGGGGGATGTCTTGTGGCAGCGAGACCTGGAACAGGACCAAATGAGGAAACACTGTGGCATCTGCATGTTCATATGGGTTTTAGGGGCATTGTCTGTAACTCAGGAAAAGCCCTGATCTTTTTGAGCCCCTCTCAAAAAAAAGAGGAATGAACTGTGCATTGTTCCTCTCAAAGGGATCACTGTAAAATGGCCTTTGGACATGGTCTGGAGGCATCAGCTGCACAACCACCCCACCAGTGCTACCCTTGAAGAGGGAGATGTTGACAGGATGCCAAATCCAAACCCTCTGACAGAAAAGAGGACTGAAGGGCAAACCTGTATCTGGGTCCAGCTGCAAAAGCCCATGCTTTTGTTAATTCTGAACAAAAATCTTTGATCCAAACATACCCAATTTTTGGGGATTCCAAACTGGAGTGAAAACACAGCAGTTTCACCCTAGCCTGAAACACAGCCTCACATCTTTGATTTCTGAGGGCAGATCATTTTTCCTGGAGTGAGGCACGTGGACAGCAACAGACACCTCCTGTCTGGTTCAGCCAGGCCAACCAACAGGCTTAAGTGGACACACACACTACCAACAGCATGGGATGGGATTTAGTGTGAGGAAACCAAACTCCCTGCCCCACCTCCCGGGCTTATCCTTTAAAGACCAGTCCTGTGCTCACAGCTGGAGTTTATGTGAGTCCTGCCTTATTAATTAACTGAAGCCAGTGCCTTTTCCCCCTGAATTCCAACAGAAGCAATTAGAAAGCAGATACCTCACACATAACAGCTGGTTCTTTTAACCCCCTCCTCATGCTATTTTCTCCCCTCCCCCAGCCAGCTCATGTCCCCCTTTTCCATCCTTTCATGTAATGGAGAGGGAGAGTAAAATCGAGGTGGCAAAAGCACCAGATAACCATGTTCTTAATAAAATCATCCAGCGTGATGCTGAGAGCAGAGGAGTGTTGTTGAGACCACACTTCTGAGCAGGGGATTGTTACATTCACCCAACAGATGGGAAAAAAGCCTTGGCTGTCTACTGTGTCCTCCTTCGAAGGGGATCTGTATCAAAGTAGCAGCATACTTTCTGCACTGAAGGCTGTTGATGTCATTAGAGCAAGTCTCGTTTTTAGTTAACACCAGAGTTAAGAGTCACATAAAACTGGCACAGGTGAAGGCACCAGGCCCATTAACTTGTGCAACGTGACCCTCTGGGAATTTTTTGAATGTTTGTGCACCTCCAATTTATTTATGCTTGGGCAAAGCAGCCCCAGAGCCTCTCCTCCCTGCTTCTGAGTATGAAGACAGCCTCAATCCTGCCATTAGACCTGTAAAAAATCCACTCAATCCACTAACTTTCCCCCACTCCCAGGGAAGATCCAATGACAGGAAGGGCAGGGCTGTCCCTCTCTGTATTCCATGCATTGCTGGGAGATGCTATGGACATAAAATTAAACCCACAGCCAAAAACGTCCACCCTGACACTGCAAGTGAAACCTGCCCTGGCCAAACCACCTGGAGTGCATGTTGTGCTCCCAGACAGGTACTCTGGAGGCTGGATCTTCATCTAAGGCAGGTAGAGCTTTCCAGAGGGAAACCAAGTCAAGGGGAACAGAGATTAATTTGTCTCTGCAAAACACTTCTGAAGCAGGGAAGTAATTTCAGTGTGTTTGAGGCAAGGGGGTCACAACATTTCTTTTCTGAGCATGACTGGCACTTTTTTAATGTAGAATTTATAGGTAAAATAGAGATCTGGTCCCACACAGGGCATCTGTTCATGGCATAGAGGGGTAATAACAGAAGTGTGGACAGCCACAGCACTCCAGTGCTGAGAGGTTTTCCTGCTCAGGATTCCTCACTGATTCTGAGGTGAGGACATTCTCAGTTATGATATGGGGAAGATTTAGGTCCAGCCATAAACTACCCATCTCCTCCCTCAAAGAGGTGGCTGTCAGAGGGGCTGCTATTGCACCAGCCATCCAGATGTTTGCCATCTTTATTACAAATTTTCATGAATCTTACAACACCTCCATACTCTACAGCAACCTGCTGGTGCAGCCATCTAATACCTACATAACAGACATGGAGAACAAGTCAGGAGGGATTAAATGATCTGCCCAGCTTCCCACAAGACAACACAGGTGTGGCTAGAAACCAAAACTCCAAGCTTCCAATTTCTGCTGCGTTACACTAATCTCTTTATATGCTTCTTTCTAAAAAAGAGAAAAAAAAGTAACGTATCATCATTTCTGTCTCATGTTTGTTGGTAGCTGGTATGGGTACTGCTAACCAAACATAAAGATCAGCATATTTTAAAAACTGTTACAGCTGATCAGTCTGCTGAACCCTGGTTTTTTTCTTCTGGGTCTTTCTAGAAGAAGAAAAATAGAAGGGAAGGGCATCCTTTTATAACTGCAAAGGCTCCAGCTAATGAGAGGAGAAATCACATTTCATATTTTGGCAGTTAGTGGTAAACACTATTATTAAAGCTATAATAAGATCAGCTAATGTTGTATGAAATATTAGTGATGTCTGAACACAGAGTCCCCATCTCTTTAGTTAAAATTACAAAATGATTAACAGCCCAATTAAAAACATTTTTGTTTTTGACATGATAAATTATACTTTATCTACCTATCTGTGGATATAATTGATTATTTTATCCGTTTGCTGTTGGCTGTCATTAAAAAAGACAGATACCGTGGCTTTCTGGCCTCTCTCCCGCTGAGAGAAAGAACAAATCCTGCTATTAACGACAGACAGGATCATTATGAAAAAATTCCATTTGCCACTAGGCAACATAGCCCAGTTCCAGTAATTATTGTATTAGTCAAGCCGTTGAGAAGTTCCATAAAATTGAGAGAGTTTTTAAGGAGCATCCAACATTATTTGGCAACTTTTGTGATGTAACAATTAAAACCATGCTCCAGGCCCCAAAATGTGCAGGAGATTGCCAAAATCAGATAAAACCCTAGAGGGCCCCTGACTCGCAAAGGAAAAAAAAAATCAAACTGTTTACTTTTAGGATCAGACATTCATCAACGTTTGGCTTTTGTTTCAGCCGTGTCAGATAATAACAGCACCACGTTTTCAGTCAGCTTCTAACAAAACTCCACAGTTCGATGGCAGCTCTCAGGGCTGACACAGCCTCTCCTCAGGAGAGGGAGATCTTATGGCAGCTGATGCCACCAGCTTTTCTTGGCAGATCAGATACCTGGGAGCACTCAGCAGTACCTGCTGGAGTGAATCACGTCTGCAATCCACCAGTGAGCATCAGGAAATCACTGGAGAGAAGTGCAAGTTATTCCTTCCTCTAGGAGCTGAGCCAGGCAACACCTCCAGTCGTCAGGGCTGCAGGGGATAGAGCAGAAGTCTCCTGTCCATGTACCCCATTAACCTGTCAAGGAACTGATAAAAAATATTTAAATCACGCTTTAAAACTGCTCAGGGAAATTGCTACTGAACAAAACTTCCAGCCAAGTTTATCATCTACTTACCTCTGTCCTGAGTGGTGTTCAGGATAACGATGTACAGCACCAGAGCTGGAGGGGCAGTGTCAGCTTCTGCAGGGGAAGGTGACATTGGTCACAAAATGCAGACCTGGTTCAGCCTAATACAGAGTGCAGGAGGCACTTCAAGAGCACATCAGTTTGCAAAGAAGTTCCTCCCTTTCCAGAATAACGTGCCTGACTCTGAAAATCTCAATGTACTGAAGAACTGGGATGGCAGCAGCAGTTTCCATGGCAGTCAAAGGGAGCTGGGAACTGAGCACAGGATGAGGAGCCAGGACACTGCTGATGTCACCAGGGAAGGGCAGCAGGGCAGGGATCAGCACCAGCACCCTGCCAGTCTCCACCTGGAACACGCTGTACCAAGCAGGACAGATGAACAGATACCCTGGAGCCTGCCATGGGATGGCCTGTCAGCACCCAGCTCCAGGCTGCAGAGGGATGCCAACTGCCAGGGCCTGCTGACCCAGTTAATAGAAAAGCCCAAACCTGCAGCCCTCAGCAGTCGTGGCTCCCACCTGATTGAAAGGGGAGCAGGGCACAGCTCTGCAGATGGGCAGCCCTGAACTGTGGGCACTGCCAGGGCACAGCTCTGCAGCTGGGCAGCCCTGAGCCACGGGCACTGCCAGGGCACAGGCAGAGGGAGGGGTGTGAAGGCAAAGCTCTCCTCTCCCCCAGCTCCAAAAGTGACCCTGCTGCTCTGCCAGGCAGGCATGCCCGAGTCCTGATCAGCTCAGGAATCAGCTAATGCTGGAAGCTGCTGCCACATTTTCCAGCACATTTAACCTCCAGTTTGGGTCTGGCAATTGCTGGGTGTGGTGAGATGTGTTGCTGTAGGAGTATAAAACCCTGAGTAACTACGAGCTGCTTTTGGGAAACACCATTGCCTTGGAGTTTTCTTCAGCAGAGCTAAAGCATATATTGTGGTAGTATTCAATTTTCTTGCATTTGGAGCTGTCATCTGAAGTGAAGCATCCTAGGTCAGCTCAAGAACTTAGGTCAGTAGCTGTCAGTGTGAAGAATGAATTCTTTTTCTTGAGTTATATGAGTAAATTGTGCCAAATCCTCAACATATTAGAGAAGTGCCAGATGAAGACTTAGGAAGGTTTTTTTTAATATATGTTCCTTATTAGCATTAAAACTTTTATTATTAAAAGAGTTATATTACAACATACATGTACAAGATCCATATGAACTTAAAAAATAATTTGAAAAAAATACAATCCTAATTTTTTTTGTTAGTCTCCCTGGCTTGCAGCTCATCTGAGCCATCAGTGAGGAAAATGCAAACCCCAGCACACAGCAAAGGGAACTCAGTGCTGAAAGAGGGAGAGTGGAGTGCATTGTTTGTGGGTACTGCTGGGAACGAGATGAACTCACTGAAAAAGATGATAACTTTGTAATGAAACTGTGGGACTTCAAATCAAGGGCCAAACTCCCTGATGCAGCCAGCTCCCCTCAGAGCACTCCTGTATTTTCCCTGTGGACTGCAGGAACAAGCCTGAACAACACAACCAGTTTCCACCCCAGCCTGGCTGTTCAGCTGGTAGGTGCTTGCACCTCCCTCTGTGTCAGCTGGCTGCTGTTGCTGTTCAGAAGGATGCCAGGTGGTTAATGCTTTAGCCAACCTGATTTCCAGATAACTGATTTTTGTAGCTACCACTTTAATTAAAATAAAAAATACATGTAAAGGACAAGTTTATCACCTGCTAACACACGCCATGGTTGTCTCTTGGTCAATCAGCAAGCAGCAGACAGAGCTGCAGACTTCTCCTTCCACACCACCAGCATCCAGAAGGAAAAAAATCAGTCCATCTGCTAAAGCAATCAGGCCCTTGTGCTCCCCAGCATCAGCTCCCATTTCCAGGATCCAGTGCCCTCTGCTGAGTAGAACCAAACCAAGCATTACCATGTCCCTGCCCCACAGAGGGACTGGAGCTGAGCAGCTGGGAGCTCAGTGCTCCCCTGCATGCCCAGCCCTGTACCCACTGCCCCCCGTGCCCCCCGTGCTCCAGGGGATTGGAAAGCAGCTCGTGGAGGGGGTGGAGGAACTTTGCAGAGGCTCTGGAGCTGTCAGAGGAGTAACATGTCCCTCTGGGGAAGGGGAAATCCCTGTGGACATGTGGTAGTCGTGAAAGCAGCTGGACCAGCAACCTTGGCAGGCTCGAGTCGAACAGAAATGTTGCTGCTTTGCCTTGATCTTTATTTACAACAAAGTGCTGGGCTCCAGCTCGGTGCTTTATCTGGGCAGGGCCCCGGCGCTCCCGCGCCCCTGTTCCGTCTCATTGGTGCACTGACATATTTACAGGGGGCCAGGCCGGGCAGCTGGGAACGAGGGGCCATAGATCAGCAGAGGAAAAAGGGATGCAAAGATGAATTTTATGAAATACTTTCCACTTTCCTTTGACTGGGTTGTGCGCTTTGCTACGGCCCATTGGGCGCTCACTCAGCGCCCGGACACCGCGCTCGGGGCAGTCTCGCCTCTGTTCCTGGCTGTGTCTGCATGCCAAGTACCTGAGGCAGCCCCCAGGGAAATGGAGAGGCAAAAAAAGAGAAAGGTGGCTGGGAGGGAAATCTCCTGCCCTTCAGTGGTGTGTACCACGGGAAAGGGAATGATGTGCTCTAAGTCACCGGTCCCGTCCGATTCCTGCAGGACACCCTTCACACCTGAGGGCCAAAGGGAGAGGAAACATTTCCACTGCTTTGTGAGAGAAAACAATCAAGTCCCTTTTGCAATTTAAGGAGGTTGTATCACCTTTGATTTCTTCTCTGGGCAATGAAAAGGGTTAATTCCTCACAGTGTTGACTTAATCCTTTCCTTTTTCCCAGTGGCTGACTAATAGGTTAGATGTGTTGACTCTGTTTAAAAAGACAAGCTTTGGACATAATATTAATGATATTGTGTGTGGAATAACATTAGAAAACAAACACAGAGGCACCTGGGGAGTCTGAAGGCATCTTCTGGCCTTTCTGGGCTGACAGCACAGAGTGACCCTCCAACATTTCCATGTGGAAAAACACCATCTAGTGTGAGACACTTTCAGTGACCCTCCTGCCTTTCAGACAGTGAGAAGTCAGGACCGTGATGAAGCCGAAAACTTGTTTCATAAGAACAGGCCATCGCTCAAACAGCTGAAGAGGGGGGAAGAAATTGAAAAAAAGGGAATCCAGAGAAACAGTTGGAAATGAAAACAGGAGATCTGAATGGAATAATGGCTCATGTCTTTCCTCTGGCACTGATGTCCTAACGAAGGGTGTGAAAGCATTTTCCCCTATGTTTTTGCAAGGCAAAGATGGGAAGAGAGCACTGTTTGTTTATTCATTTGTCTATGAGCCCCACTAGCACAAAGAAGTCACTGCAAATACTTATCCAGGGCTCAGGCTGATCCCACTGGGATGCAAGAACTGCCTGCTCCCTTGATAGCCTCAGTGGGATCCAAACCAGCATTATTTCCCTCTGTTGTCTATTGGGAGGTCTAGGGGAGTGCAGCACAGTTCCACCTCCATCCCCATGGGGAGGCTGAGAGCCCCTGCAGACCCTGCCCAGCACAGACATGGACAAGGCCTTGGCACAAGAAGTCTCACTTCAGAGATTTGCCAGGCTTTGTGCAGGTGCCCCATACTAAGGGTCACAGTACAGGCAAAATAAACTAGATGCCCTACTGCTGACAAAGCATAGAATATTCCTGGTACAGCTGTGTGTAAATGGAGCTGAATCAAGGCAATCTCACCTTGGATTAAGAGCCATCAGTTGCCAGGAAGAGATCTTCTGCACTGAGTAGAATGTCTGTCAGCACTCTTGAAGAATCTCCTCAGATGGTTCCTTGGAACTCTCTTCTCTGCATGGTTTCAACACCTGCACTCGAGCAGCTGAAGGTGCACTGGAAAGGAGCACCTGAGGTCATCCAGCTCAGAGCTCAGCAGGAGCCTGGCAGGGATAAAAAGACAGTCACCACTTTAAGCTAAGATCGTTTGTGACTCACCCAAGATCACACAGATGGTGCTTACACCAAGAATTAGACCCACCAAGCCATCCAACACCTCCTGATTACTCATTGAGGATTAGAGTCCATTTAGGAGTCAGTCTATAAATGTAGGATTTGGAGCTATGATGGAATGGGAAATTAAATACTCAGAAGTCTGTCACATCTCTGTTCAAAGCAGGCTAACATTTCATGTAAGGAATTACATGCTTCAGACAGTTGCAATCATCTTCTGCACAAATAATTGAAGCTTACTTCATCTGTTGTATTCTGATATAAATTTTTATTGGAAATATAAATACCTATGTCGGTCACCAAACCAAATAAAACAAACATATTGAGTAGGGTCTATTATAGGCTAATATGGAAACAAATAATCTGCAAGTCTGGTTTTATTTATAAGCTTATTTGAGTTTTTACTCTAGGCTCATATTAATCGGGTTTGTGGTTTCCACATCTGTATTGCTGATGCCCAGTGCAGACAGCATGCCAAGTCAGACCTGGGCATCCTCCAAGCTCCAAATGGAAACCATATGCCTCAAGTGCAGCTACCTCCAGACGAGCAGGGCCAGTAACCTCCCCAGTAACCGCAGCGGGCGCAGCGGGCGCAGCGCAGCCCCGGGGAGCTCTCGGAGGTGCCTCTCACCAGTTTCTTGCCTCTGACTTGCTCCAGGGGCAGCCAGGCTGCCGCCTGTGCTCCATTTGCTCTCTCTGATGATCAAGAGATACCAATTCCCTTCCCAGCCTCCCCTCTCCTCTAGCTGCAGCTAGGAATTCCCAGACTGGACCAGTTAGCTCACGGTGTCAGCCAGTGATACATATTCCCGAGGAAGATGGAAGAACTCCTGCAGCTGATGGCAGTGCAGGATGAATTCTTTCCATAACCCTTGATTATATTTTTAATATTTATAAAAAGCATTTCAAATGTTCACAAAAGCCATAAATATATATATAAGAAGTGCCCATGCCCCTTGTCAAGCCAAAATGGATCCAGCTGTTCTGCGGTGCTGGTCTCTGATTGCGGAGAATCCCTGCACTAATGAAAGATGTATAAAGGGAATCCCAAACTAGAAACATGATCTCTGCTAAAGACTGTTCAAATCCACTGTTAAAGAATATTTCAGGGAAGTACATGAACAAAAAGCTGAGATCCAGTCCTGAGAACCCATCTCCACAAGGGCATCTCTTCTGCTTGCAGACACCTTTCAGAGCAAGCTGCTTCCAGACAGACTTTGCTTTGTGCTGGGACATCGCCAGAGTTTTGTGCCAGTGGAGCTGCATCACTGCAAACCCATTCATGGAGCCCCACAGAACCTCAGGGCAGTAGAAGTGCCAGACCTGCTTCTTCCCTGAGCACAGGAGGAGCTGGAGCAAAACCACACATATGACAGGAGCGAGGGAAAAGGAAGCAGTCTTGCTGGTGGAAGCACTAGAAATTTGGTGAAGGCACTTAAATTTATTCCCTGTGTACCCTCTGATGGCCATCCAGCAGCCTCTGCCACCTGTAGCAATTATCTCTTTCCTGACAATTTTGACACAGTGATGCACAGCAGTGCCATAAAATATGTTTTTTTTCAAGTTACTAAAGCATCACCAGTGTGTGTTGCTCATACAGAAACACCATGATTAGCTCTAAGAATTCAGAGGGGGGTATTGGGGAAGGGCTAAAAAATTAACACAACCTGCGTGCCCCATCCATGCCAAAGGGAATCACTGTGTCATCCATCACCCACCTCCTCAGAGAGCTGCTCTGCCCAGCACGGCTGCTCCACTGGCTCCTAGGCAGGAGCAACTCTTATGAAACTGAGATGGCAAAACTGCAGTGCCTGATAACAGAGGGGCAGATCTGTCATCAGCACAGAAGGCAGTCATTCCTCGTGGCAGTGGCTGGAGAAAAGAAGATGCAATTAACAATTAGCTTTGGTAAGAGAAGACAAAACCCTTAACACACAGTTTCTGCTGCAGCAAATCAAGCCACAGACTTAGGAATTAATGGCTCAAAGTCTTGGTTCTTGCCTTCCTAGATACACTAGAAGATGAAAGAGAGAGTGAATTTCTCCTGCCACTTCATTCTGGCTAGCTAAGATTTGGGGCTCAGCCATGGAAAAGGGCCAACCTTGCAACAGTTACAGGAAATGAGAAGAGCTTTGCAGCATTTCCAAGCAAATTCAGCACACCTTCAGATTTGCATTTTAGGCACAAAACTCAGGCTTCTCACCCCAGAAAACAACACTGAAGCTTTTCAGTGGGTGTTGCACTATCTTCCCTTCCAGTCCTCCTCTCGCAGCCCCTCAGTTTCTGAACTTAGAACCAAATCCACACAGAGCTCCAGGTGTGTCAAACAGGCTCTGCTTTCATAGGTTTGACCTCTGAGTTGCATCTCCCTTCTCCCAGACTTGGTCAATAGTTCTGGGAAAACATGCTCATGCCAGTTACACTGTTTAGATACATAAGCTGCAGGTTTATCTACATTGCTGTCTTCTCACCCGTTCTCTTGAATCCTGCTGTAAGTGCAGCCCTGGCAGCAGCTGACCCAAAAAGCTGTGTCCCCCAGCAGTGAGTGTCAGCTGGGCTGTGGTAAAAGGCATGGCTCAGAGGACATCATTCCTACACAGAGCTCACGTGCATATTTTCGAGTGCTGCCTGGATTTTTAGCTTGGAAATTCTATGTATAATTTAGATCTGCTGGACTTCATTTCCAGCAGAGACTGATTCAGATTGTCTAGAGATGTGCAAGGAATATGGTCAACTAACATGCACACAAAAGCATTGTTTCTGGTGCAAAGTCAGGTATCTTCCTCTCCCTCAGACACCTTGCATGTAGATTAGTTCAGACTCTCAAATGACATTAAAGAACCTTGTTCTATTATTTCACAATCCACAGGTGCAAGAGGAAACCAAATCCAGCCCAGTCTACAGGCCTAGTTCAACATCCTGTACAGCACTGCCAGCCATTCTGTCCCCCCTCCCTCCTGATCACTTTGGTTCTTTGTGCCCTGCAATAATTTCCTCCTCTAGTCTCTCTTTTTTCCTTTGTCCACGGCACACTACAAATTATTTGTGGTTGCAATGATTAATTTCACAACTCACGCCTAATTTGACCCCAATAACTTTGCCTGCAGAAGGGACAATTCCTTGTTGATCCAGACAACTTATCACCCCCTGAGCACAATCCAAAGGCGGGGCTGGTTGTCAACAGGGGGATGCCCATTAGTGCTTTTCCAGGCGAGGTCCCTTATCAAGTGGGAGAGAGCTGGAGTACTGCAGGGGGAGGCACACTGCTCCCAGCCTGCAAGGCCACACAACATGGGAAGTGGTGGCTGGAAAGAGGAGTGGAGGAATGACAGATGGGTTGTGCCTGTGCGTGTCTGCAGAGGACACCGGGCCCGCCATGGGAACGGCGTGGACAGTAAAGGCAGCGCCTCAAGTGAGGAGTGACAAAGCAAGTCAGCCACGGATGGCCCGTGGGAGGCCAGAGGAAATGCACCATTAGTCAAAGCTGGAGGAAAAATAAAATGCGATGACAACTGGGCCATTCATGTGCTTCCCCTTCAAGGACTGACCAGAGCCTTCACGACTCAAAAGACTCAAGTATCAGCCCTTTCTCTCTGCAGCCAGGCTAATGTGCACCACAGAGTCTGAGAAACTCCCCTGTCACCTACATTAATTCTTATCTTGTTGTTCTTGGCTACACTTCACTGCAGTACAGTGAGGGAGAGTGCTTCACTCAATAATGTGGATCCAAGGGAACCCCCCTCTGCTGTTCCTCGGGATCAGCTCAACAGCACAGAGCAAACGTTCACCCAACAGGGGAACTTGGGAAATATCAGGACTTCCAGAACTAGAGTGTAAGACACCGAGGTGGCCTCACAAGGATGTTTAAGCTCACATGGACAATTGCATCACTCCAGGGTAGCTTTCTGCACTTTTGAGAGTTTGCTACTCAATAAAAAAATGCAAGAGCTCAGAGCTCTCAGCAGCCTCAGTGACAGAGGCCTTGCATTTCCCAGCAGGTTCCATCACAAGTTCCACTTTGCCACTCTCCTGGAAACCCCGAGGCACTGCTGCCTGTGAGGCACTGCTACCACAGCCCGTGAATCTGACTGTCACTAAGGAAGGAGGATGTCCTTCAGAAGGTCCAGCTGTAAACACTCACAAATGCTTGGTCTCTCATTCTTCAGAGGGGACAATACCCCAGCTAAGGACAGGCCTTGTTCAGAACTGCTCCTCTGGAGCTGTGGCATTTCCAGATTTGGAAGTACATGGCAGCTAAAGGGACATGCAAGCAGAAAATCCCCAAATTGAACTCTTACCCCATCAAAAGGGAATTCACTTACTAACACCTGAATAGGGCTAAAAGTAGCCAAGTAAAATAGAATGTGCATCTTTCAAAAAAAGTAGAACAAGAAAAATTCAGGGATTACAATGAAATCCCTGATTAAGGAAGAGACCCAAAGTCCTGACCTGAAATTTAAAGGTATCCTGGATATATGCAGAATGAACGAGGACAGAAATGCAAGCAAAGTCTGAGGTATCAAGAGAATTCTCCTTATTTTCCTGTGTTTGAAATATGTCTAACAAATAAGCTCAGTGACAAATAAAGAAGGAAAAAATCAAAAGCACTGTCATGATTTAATCAGATCCCAGTCGGATGTAAATTAAATTAATAAAAAAAAATAAATCCTTTGACAATCTGAGAGCTGTTTCTGAAGTCTCCAAAGCAGCCTTGCTGCTCTTGAAATGACTTCCTGTTACATGGTGAATAATCTCTGCTTTCTGCATTAGGGGAATCATTCACCTGAACCCAGCAGTGTGATCAGAGTGTGAACACCCTGCTGCCCAAACTGCTGCCTGACAACATCTTCCCAATCACTCAGGATCTCCTGCCAGCAGAACATTAGCTGACTCCATTCCTCTGAGGAAAATGCCTGGGTTTCCTGATGTTTCCAGCTGTGTTTGTACAACCTGCCTTCGTGTGAAGTTGAAAATTAATGCACTTCCTCTTGATCCTTTGAAAGAGAGAAAAAAAGGAAGATTATCAAAATTAATAAAAATGCCAAAGCTCAGTCCTTTGTCCCTGTTGAACAAAGGTTTTAAAATAAAGATTGCTGAGCTCAAGCTCCTGCACAAAGCTCAAAGCTGCTGTGTAACCTGTTGCTCTGGCCCAGTGTGAACAGAATACTGGTTGGCTGCACTGCAGCTCATTCACACGAGTAAGAGATAAAAATAAAACAGGCTTTCAGTTTGGACTGTTTTGTTGGGAGTATACCCTGGAAAAATGTATTTGGGCCTTTTCTCACAGGGAGCTGGCAAAGAAGGGAACATTTGTTTATTTTCTTGATTTTTGCTTAAAGCCTAAAGTCTGTCTTTTTTCACTGGTTTTCTTTCCCTTGGTATTTTAATTTAATGGAGTTACATAATATTCTAACAGACAAGGTATCTGTAGTCCTTTTGGTTTAGATTTGTTTGAGATATGTTACCACCTAGCTAATCCTAACTCAGCGCAGAGCCTTGGGAAAAAGAAGTCTCCTTGTCAAAGATTTAAGAAGAGGGATCTTGCTCTTTGTTTTTATGCTGAAACAAGGAAGAACAAGCCTGATTCCCATGTTGCTTTAATGTAAAGGGAAGAAGGATGGAACAAACCCCAGCTGGTCTTTGTGTGATCTGAAGGAAAAGAGGGGAGGAGGTAAGGGTGAGTATTTTTACAGTTCACCTTTCATGGAGCACAAAGGCTTTCCTTAGATGAATGTGGTAATACATTGGACATACTCTACCACAAACTGATGAGACTTTTACCTGGAAAAATTTCCCCCACCCCCTCCTTGGAGCTGCTGGTTCTGACAGGCTGCAGCTCCCAATACCTGTACCCAGCTAACAATGCACAGCACCTTGTTCAAACAAGACTGGTCTCCATCTCACACTACCCCCCAGGGAATATTCACTTTTCTCTTCAGACTGTATCTTTCTGACTGATGCAATCAGGTTCTGGAAACCTGCCTTATTAGTTTATATTCCAGCTTCTTAGGGAATGATGTTAATTTTCCATTGTAGGACCAGAAGATTTTAGATGTGCCAGATCTTGTCTATAAGGAACAACCAAACAGTGGCACAGCAGTGCCAGGGTTACAAATGAACAGCACTCCTTGCACAGCAACTCTGGGGGTTACAACAGAGACACTCTCCTAACTCCAACAGTGCTTGAAAAGAGCTATTTTACAATTACCCAATGAATAAATAAAAGTGCATTTTCTTACTTATTCACTTGAGATATTCTGCCCAATTTCTGCACCAGTTCACCATCCTAATTGTTTTCTTCCCAGATCTGTGGTTTACTGCTAAGCCTTTACACTGTGATGGCCAAAGAGTCCCATTATATCCATTAAAGATTAGATCATTTTCTTTTGTTTCCCACAGCAAATAGGATCCCATTCATGTCCCAAACAGAATGTCAGTAGTTGGAATGATGTTTTCTTAAGGTGCATATAAGATTAAAGACTGAAATCAGATGCAGTGTTGCCAAAGCCTTTGTAATATGCATGTTTTTCATGGCAAGATGATTGACAAGAATTGCAGGAAGGTGCTGAAGGGGATATTTCACCTGGCCCATCAAAACTCAATGTAGAGGATTAGAACTAAGAAGGGCTGACAATATTGACTTTGAGTACCACAACGGAAACATAATTAGCTCTTTGACAGGTAGTGGACAGAAATATTCCATTTTTAAAAAATCAGTTAGAGTAATTACAGCATATCTGTTGCATGCTGCCCTGGGAAAAAAAAAGAAAAAGAAAAAAGGTCTGCTCTGCTGTTTCCTCTTTTCCCAGTAAAATTCAAGTTTGGCACTAGAATAAATGCTTGCAAACCCAGCCTTTCTGCTGGAAGAACATCAGGAAAACTTTGTGCATAAAAGTAAAAAACCTCTCTTAAAAGAGAGCACACAGATCTGAAAGAATGAAAAAGTCAATGAATTTTATACAAGTTTACGTATTGCAAAACAAACTGTCTGCACTATGCTTATTAAAGGCATATTTCATTGCCTAATCATAGATGTCTATTGTACCTTTTATGTTTTGAATCATAATTGCAGCCTGTTCCCCAACTGTAATAATGAAAGACGTTTTGGCACATGCTCCCATTGATTCCCCTGTAACAAAGCACTTAAGACACAGACTTGCACCCACTGCAGTTAATGGGCAGCATTAACTCCAGGCCCTTGATGTCACTGGGATTTAGACAAATGGCAGTTTATATGGGCACAAAATCACCCACTGTTGGACAGGCAGGAGCCTCTGAAGAGAACCCTCCAAACTCCAAAGCCTGCACAACGTGCAGCTGCTTTGGGTAGAAATTCACTGCACTGGGCAAAGGGGTTTTATGCCTTTATCAGAATAACTGTGCTGGAAAAAAGGGTATCTGCTGTGCTGGACTGTCTTCTCCAGCTCCTGGTCTGCAATAATCTGAACTGCAGAAACAACTTTCAGTAGCTGTAATGACACGTCCCAGAAATGGGAAAAGGCAAAACTTAATTGTACACAATACCTTAGCATTGAGAACAAGTTATCATTAGGTGTAATACAAATAATGCAGTATATTCAGGTTTCAATTTATAAAGATTATTGTCTGTATGCTTGTCTGTAATTCTTTTTGTTTTGGGATTAAGTAGCACACAAAAATAAGGAACAAAAAAATAATGAAGAGTTTTCTTACCTTATTCCCTTTTTTAGCCACTGTTACTAGCTATCCTAATTAGTTAGAACCTGCAATGAAATATTACAGGAAATTAAAACAGATTAAAAATGCAGAAATCAAAATGCCTTTAAATACAATAAAGTCAATATTCATTCTCAGCATCAAATCCAGGGCATGTACCGAGATAATACTAAACCAGCCTGTTTCAGCAGCTCAGCATTACCTGACATAATGGGAACTTCTCATCAAAACCAGTGCATTTAAAGAAATAAAAGAAAATTGAGATGAACTGATCAATGTTCTCCCTTTCTTCTCTGACAGAGAAGTTTCTCAGAGTTCTAAATGTTGCCAGTCATTTCTCAATTAGTTTTCCAACACTTTTACCCAGCAGTACCTATAGCTGCTAACTGGCTTTGTTCCTATGCATTTTTTCCACTTTGTGTTCTGGTTTAAAACCCGAGGTAAATAACTAGTGTAGAATAGTTTGGCCCTGTACAATCCTCTGGCTGCACTGGATTTCCAGGGAGTTTACTCTTGACCCCAAGCAGGATGTCAACACACAGGGACAGTGAAAATACCTGTTAGACCTCATTAGCTGCAATAAACAGGAGAGTGTTTGAAAACATACTTACCAAGTCTACAGGTTCCCTTAAATTTAAAATAAGAGGCCATCCAGCCTGGAAAAATCCCCACGGTTATTCAGTTTACACACAGATACAGAGAGGTATCAACATTTCCTTCTCAAAAGGTCTGAGTCTGTCTACTTCTTCATTTCCTTAACACACACTTCAACCAAGAGAAACAACAGCAAGATCAAAAAATAAATCTATTGTAAGCAGAAAGCATATGTACAAAATTAAGCAAATACAATCACACATTTACTAGAAAAAAAATATTCTTTATTCATTAATTAATGCACAACACAATAAATATTGGAATCACACATGTAAGGGACCCAGCAAAGCTCAGACTTGTTTGCACCACGGTGTGGTTTGACAAACAGATCCTCATCAGCTGGCATCCTGGGAAGCCTGACTCCATTTGTTGGTTTTTTACATTTTCACATGCCATCAGTCATTTGCAGTGCACATCAGTTGTTCCAATTGACATTAGTCAGGCTTTTAAATAAAACAATTCTTAAGCACCATCCCTGGTGAATCCTGCAGGAAAAAAGCACAGTCCCAGCAGTTGTCACTATCCTGCCCTGCTGTTGGTCATGCAGGGGTGATGAATGTTCAGTTTTACTTCACTGGGGCAACAGCATTTGCCACTAAACCAGGAACAGAACTGGGCTGCTACTGCAGAGACAGGAGCAATGTTCATCAGCAGTTCTAACACCAAGGCAGTTCTGCTCCTTCTGAGGAAGATGACATGCCTTAGTTTCACACACTGAGGACACATTTCCTTAAGATCTCCTTATTTGCTGTCCCAAATCATTATTTTCAACTTTATGATGAATGACATGAACTCATCTTTCCACTGATTTGTCTGCAGGGACAGACTCCTTCTGCTGGATGCATTGATAGAGAAGAGAAGCTGATTTTGCAGGGCTAAACACCAGTGCTTTCACTTATGGGAAACCAAAGGAACTATAAAAGGTAATCACTAGAAAAAAATCTTGCATGCACACACATTACAATTCAGTCAGAGGGGAGAGATTCCTCACAGAAAGATCTCTGTTTCAATTGTTAATTGCAATATTAAGTAAAACATTTAAAGAAACCCTAATATATTATGAACTCTTCCTTTGTGAAATGTAATAGGGTTTTTGGCTGCACCATGCTCATAAGGCCTTTATTAAAGGAAACAGAAACTTCTGAATGTGCAGGTATGCACACATTTATATACAAAGTTTTCATCATTTCTTCTAAAGGCAGCTGTAAAATGCAGGCAGTGTTTCAGCTATACTTCCACTCAAAGTATTTCTTTTCAACTACAAACTTATGGATGAGTTCACAGATGAAAACTGGCAGATGTGACAGGGAATGCCACTTGCAGCCAAACTGTATCACTCCCTCCTACTTTATGGACCAGAAATATTGACCAAAATTCAGGAAATTTTGTAAAGAAAGCATTTGAGATTTCTTCTGTTGTTAAAATAAATACTTGAAAATTCAATATTCTAGTATCAGTGGAAGTATGATAAATGCTGTTGCAAAATATTTTACAAGGAAGTTCTGATCCTTTTTTTCTAGTGGTTTCTCTGACAGGTACAATTCTCGTGGTAAAAAAGATTTCACACTCATAACAAACCAGCCATCTGTCTGTGTTGCAGCAGTGAAACAGCAATCAAATTAAAAACAGCAAAGATACACATGATCATCAGACTATTCTTCTAAACTGTGCAACAAGCTCGGAATGAAAATATCAAATTCCCCAAAGAAAACACTGATATCAATTAACTGCCAAAAGGATACATTGGGTTCACCTCCAGCCCATCTCTTCCTTTCCTATGATCACTATTCTGCTGTAAAGGGTGCAAGAAACTCTGTGTCTGTGCATAGCAAAATACTGCGACTTCCACTGAAATTCGGTGCAGTTTTCGTGCTTGCCTTTGTCAGGGCACCTGAACCAGGGTTCTGCACAAGCAGCTTCGCTCTCGGATGTTCCTTCGCTGCCACAGATGAGGCAGCACCTCCCCCTTCTGGAGAGCCCGAAAAGCAGCAGGAATTCCCGGCAGGGCAAGGCTTCCTCGGCCGGGCCAGGACGCAAAACAAAGTTTGCAGAGAATTATTTTAGATCCTCGTTCTGAGCACGACTGTCTCTTTCCTAGATCGCTGGTTAATGTAGTTCCCTTCACTAACGTGTTTCAGTAAAGCCAGACCTAAGTTAATTCAGATGTAGTACCCAGAGCTCATCAGTGAGAAAGTCTTAAAAACAAACCAAGGAAATGTATCAGTGTCAGCCAGGTTTCTGCATTCTATAAAACAGAAAATGCTACATAAGATGGATTATTAGTGGCTTTGATTCTACTTGTCAGCATTGCTTCATATACACTGTTCAAGCAGTAATTTGTGAGATGCGTCAATTTAATTTGAACTGAACTAAAAATTTCAGGAGTAGGCAGAGAAATCACCACAAAATTCAACCCTTCCTTTAGCACCTCTGAGCTCATTCATTCTCAGCCATCATCATAACGCTGTGCCCAGGATGCTACTGAATAATGCACTGGGATTCTTCCAGCAGCAGCACAGCCTCAGTGGTGGGTGATTTTCTATTACATTCCTGTGTGTGTTACATTTAGAAAAATCCTGAAGGTGACTGCTTACCCATTGTTACACACTGGGAACTTGCTTCTGCTCCTGAGCACAGTCTCAGCAGTCACTGCTGGCATCAATAACGAGCTGTGCAAACTCAGGACAAAGTATCACACCAAATCACCCCTGTCCAATGCCCAGCATCTGTGGCACCATCCCGGGAGGCACTTTGCCAGCTGTGCCAGCAGGGAAACTCAGGGAAAACTGCTGCACTTGTAGGTGGCCTCAGGTGTCCTTGGCTTCAGTTACATTCCCATGTAAAACACTGGGATTGTTTCCCAGCTCCCAGCAAGAGAAGGGTTTTAGGCACTTTGAAAGGGAGAGCTTTGTTACAGCAGGACTGCATTGGTGTTAGAACTGAGATGGGGCAAGGACAATTCCTTTGGCTGTGACAAAGAGCTGCCCACAGGGAGAACGAGAAAGATTCCTGCAACCCAAACCATGAATGCTGTTTCAACTCTAAGAGCCCCTTTTCTTCACAAACACACTTTGTGCTTTTTTCCTTCTTCCCAGGGATGGTGTTTAACCTCAGCAGCCTGTGACTGTTGCATCCAAGCCAGAACGCTTTGTGATGTGCAGCTTGGTGACCTCCTCAGCACAGGTGGGGTGGATGCCAACTGTCTTCATCAGCTGAGGGTACGTGGCACCACACCTACCAAAAACAGCAAAAAAAGACCCACACAGTCAAATGCTCTTCACCTGACACAGCCAGAAGGTCCGAAAACATCAAAGGAACTCTGCTCTTGTCCATTTGATGGGGCAGAGTTCATTTGTCTCTCAAACAATGCTGTCTCTATTATTTCTCAGGCACTTACACAACTGCAGACGCCCAACTCCACGGCATCCAGGCAGGGAAGAATTGTCATAAGGGTTGAGACAGAGACAATTAAGCAATTTACCCAAGTCACAACTGAGCCCATGGCAAAAACATCTGACAAAGCTGCAACCTTCAGCTTTTCTTGTACATACATGTGTGTCTCACTAACTCAGATGGAAAACAATGCACACAGAGGAAGAAAATCTGAATCAGAACTGCTGGAAGGAATCTGCTGAAGGAAGCAATACCAGAATATTATTCCATGATCTTACAGAAAGTCACTGCTGCTTATACTGAACATATCAATGTTATAAGCAGGAGAATAAAAAGCCTCTTATTTGAAAAAAACCCAAACCAAACAAAAAAAACCCCCACCAGAAAACCCTTCAGCTAAAATCCCACTTGCTTAATTCCTTTACTTGTCCAATACATTCTTAAGACTTGATGACTTTCCTTTGAGCTGCTATTCCTGGCAGGTCATGCTTTAAGAATAGCTGAAATGGCCCTAAATTTAAGAATTGTTTCAAGCTCTCTATGGAACAGTGTTATCTCTACAAAATACAGGGAAGGGAGCCACAGATACTTCCTGATGTCTGCACGTCCAAAAAGCACCGACAATCAAAAGATCATTGCTGAGCACAGATGTTACTGGAGTGGGGAGGGAAGATGAAAAATCATCCTTCAGAGAGGCTGAAGCAAGACCCAGTGCTTGACAAAGGAGAGCAGCTCTTCCAGTGAGTGTTCCACGCTGAAAGCTCTGGATTTGTGAAGTGCAACAGAAACCAATACAAGAATCTGACCTGCTGAAAACCTCTTACTGTGGCTAAAATTTTAATTTCCCTCAAGCAAGGCAGAAAAGCACTCCAGTTTCATGTGCTTCCTTTTCAATGGTTATTTTGGATAAAACTTCAAAACAATGACATCCAAAAAAATGTAGTTCCAGAATCTATACCACTGGCAATTAAAGGACTACAAACACATGTTGAAAATGTGTACTGAGGGTACACTGCAATCAGTGATTTCCAAGATATTCCTTACGTGATGCTTGCGGTCCTGCCTTCTTAATCCTTTCTGCTTTTCATTTATGCTAGTCACTCACATCTCTAAGACTAAAACTGCAATAAAATGGTGAGCACAATTAGGAAAATGAACTCACACCACAACTCGGGGTGATTTATTGTGTCCCAGACTACTTTCTTCAAAGAGGGAGTTAAAAACTATAATTTAGTAACCTAAATATACAAATCAACATTTCCAAAGATAAGGATGATAAGAAGGGAAATGTAACAACAAATATGAAATAATTGTAGCCCATGGGAGGCATAGCAGGAATTTTCCATTTACCAGAGAGGACCCAGAATCATTCCTTACTCCTTCAAAGGGAGGGCTTCTATATTAATTTTTGAGCAAAATCTTAAACAAGATCTGATCACAAAGGGTTATTGCAATTATCAGATAGCTCCAAACAAAAGTACCTCCCCTCTCCCATTATCCTACAGAAGTTTCTTTTTTACTATATTATGCTTAGCTTATACCTCAGAAGCATACAGGAATTCATGCAAGTCCTTGCTGAGCTTTTGAGGAGCAATGGCTGTGCACATTTAAAGGTAAGATTAGGAAATCCTTGGCAGGTGTAAAGAAAGGTTTTTATGAAAAGCACAAATATTCTTTATTGCAAAACTGTATAATGATTGCTTATTCTGTGCATAGAATGCAAAAGAGGCTACACTGAAAAACACTAACATTAGTAAGTTAATGCACAATTTTGTTTTTTGCTTTAACTATATCAAGTCAACAATGTATTTTCCTCAGTTGTTTCCTTAACTGCATCCAGTATTACAGTAACTAAATCCAATACATCTTAATGAAGAGCTGCAGTATTTTAAGTGAAAATATGTGCAACACTTCATAAAAGTAACGAAAAGCCTGCATTCTTTATAGTGTTGCCAAAACTAGGCAGCTATCTTTTATAATCTTACAATAACTTAAGAAGCAGGCTTTAGAAGCTGGAGACATTCTTTTGTACTTACTTGATTCCAAGAGCAAATCCTTGAATAACTTCGCCCGCGTTTGGTCCAATGAAATGAAGGCCAAGTATCCGCTGCTCCCTCTCTCGTGAGCACACCATCTGAAAACAATACAGGACACACAGATCCTGCCTCAGAACACTTCAAGATAAGGCAGGAAGGTGAATTAAATGCAACTGAAGTGCCCCAGGATCCCAGTTCAGCTGGTCCTTTCCAGGGTGCCAAAAACTTACACACTTGCTC